CATTTTCCATCTGCATGATTCAGTATAAGCTTGTCAAAAATGCATACTGCTATTTTATTAGCTGTGAAAATGGATCATGTAATCAGTTTCTTCCTTTTTTGTTTTGGTGAAAGTATGTGAAAATGTATTGGCTCAATACATGCAATTTGGAAGAATGATAAGCCTTGACACACTATTTGAATTGATAATGCTTTCAACCAGGACTTTTAAATTTCTAGTTTATCAGAGAAATAATGTAATATAGATAAATAACACATTTTTGTTCATTACATTTTTAAAGATGAAATGTGGAAATTTCTAGTCCTACAATTCAGTATAAAGGCATATATAAGTACATTGGGCTAGATCAATGGAGAGATTAATGTGTTACCACATCTAGCTTTTAGGTGCCTTACCACTAGGAGTAATCTACAGTCCCGAATTAGGCACCTACACTCCCTGTAGAGTGAATAAGTTAAAGAGAAATAGGTGCTGTTGCTAATTATGGTACCCCTCCATCTTTCAGCCCACCAGTTACAGTACCTAGTCTCATTAAATTTTCCCTTCTACCTGATGCAAATAAGAAACTTGGGTCTTCCCCCTCTCAGAAGATCACCTTAACCACTGGGCAATGACATATTCTCAGGTAAGTTTCTTTCGGTTTTTCCTGTTCAGCTGTGTATAAATATCAGCGAGATAGCTGTGCTAATCTGTTTCAACAAAAACTATAAGGAGTCCAGCTGTACACTAAAGACTAACAATTTTATTATTGCATAAGCTTTCATGAGTTGCCACTTACTTTAGCAGATACATAAAGTAAAAGAAAAACAGATTATAGGCATAAAGAACAGATTATAGGCATACAGAGATCAGAGAGTTACATCCAAGATCACTGAATCAGGGCCCTATTCAAACAATATGAATTAATATGCAGATTTAACACCATCAGGATGGGTTTGAATAGGGACTAGGAATGTCTCATTACGAGAAGTAATTTTCTCCTTTAGGCAGAACATTTTCACCTTCTTATCTGTTTTCATCCTGATTGAATGAGCTTGGATGTAACATTTCCATGGCTATATCCCTAAGATCTGTTTCTTTTTCTTTTACTTCATGCATCTGATTAAATAAGTTGCAACTCACCAAAGCTTATGCCATAATGAAACTGTTAGTCTTTAAGTTGCCACTGGACTTCTTGTTGTTTTGTGTGTGTAAGTACTTAAATATTCGTTGGGAGAGACAGCTAGAGAGAGAATGACTCTTTAGTACAGTAGTTAGGGCACTCAACTAGGACACAGGAGACCGAGTCCCTGTTCTCCAATGCCTAGTTAATTATAAAAAGTGGAAGACCTCCAACAGGACAGACTGAGAGAAACCTATCTCAGGGTACACTCTAGACCAACGATGAGGACACTTTGCTGGGACAGGTAAGACCTATGTGGAAACCCGTCTTCCACATAAGTCTGAATTGATTTGGAATGACCAAATCTCAGCTGAGTATTCTAAATATTTTAGAAGGTTAAAAGTTGAAGTAGTTCTGAGTGGGTTTTAGTAGTTCTCTTAGAATGCCACAGACAACAGAGGCAGGGGGAAGAACTAGTTTGAGATCCTCCTGAGGCTTCCACATGAGGTATGTGCCTGTGGCTCATATCTAAACAGTTGCCTAGATGAGACAGCTATGTGCATTCTCACTTGCAGAAATGAATCTGCTAAGGAGATTGAAATGATGGAAATTCAGGCAGCAACAGAAATGGGCAGCAGTTGAGTGCTGGTCATTTCAATGGTGACTAACAGTCAGAATTAGGCCATAAATCTTCTGGAGAATCTATCTCTTCCTGCTTTAAAAAATTATTTTGGCTGGCCATCATGTATCAAACCAATTATTTTTGGACTAGATAATTTCATGGAGGTTAGGTCCATAAAAGGCTATTAGCCAGGGGATAAAATTGGTGTCCCCGGACTCAGTTTGTCAGAGGCTGAAGAAGGATGGCAGGAGGACAAATCGCTTGATCATTATCTTTGGTCCACCCTCTCTGGGGCACCTGGTGCTGGTCATTGTCGGCAGACAGGATACTGGGCTTGATGGACCTTTGGTCTGACCCAGTACGGCCGTTCTTATGTTCTTATGACTGTCATTCTTCAGCCTACAACTCCACTACATGCATGACTCCAGCTCTTTGGGCTCATCTAGACTAGGCTAGAGTGTCGAAAGAGGATATGCAAATTCTGCAGGAATTCTGCTCTTTCTCAAAAAATGAGGTTTACACGGCTTTTCAACAATGGAGGGGGGGGGGGTTGCCAAAAAAGCACCGCCTAAACTACTTTCACTTTTGAAAGCAGAGCTCGGAAGAGATATGCAAATTCCCACAACATATGCATATCCTCTTTTGACACTCTAGAGTAGTCTAGATGAGCCCTATGTTAGGATCACTTATTAAGGGATTCTTGATTCTAAGAAGGGGAACTACTGCCCATATTCTAAGGACCCTCCAGCCAATACTGAGAAAGTAAATCTCAGATGTCTTGAGTCCCAAGTTTTCTATACATGATTTCTCAGTCACTAAGAATTTCCACACATTAAAGTAGCAGACAGGCCTCCAAATCATTATTTTCTTTTAATAATTTTGGTAGCCATAAAAACTGTTTATATCTAGAATTGCAGTTCAGCTATAAAGACTGAAATCCTGAAATATGCCCGTGAACAAAAACACACACAAAAGGTCTTGATCCTGAAAATGCTGAGCACCTGTAATTCTTACTGACTTGACATCAAAGTGTACTGCACGTGAATTCCTTCTGTTAGGATCAGATAATAACTATTCAATAATTTTAAATACTCATCTCTATGTATTAAATGTATCCACCCAGACATTACACACACATACTCAGACTAAGATAAAAACATACAGAGGCATCTAGCAGGATCCAGTACCATGAAAAAGCATTGATCATTTAAACTTCAAAAATTCAAATATATGAATGAAGCTTGAGGTAAGTTTATTTAATACTGTACTACAACCGTTCTTAGTAAAGCAATTTAATTCCAGGTGAGCACGTTAACCAAGATATATTATTAATAATCATTTATAGAGTGCTCTGAATACATGCAGTGCTCTGCATATGTTCCTGACCCCTCCTTCCCCTCTTCCCCCAGTGAGCTTAAATTCTAAGACTGACAAGATACATAAATATGAAACAAAGTACATTGTTATGGAGGAAAGAAACTGTGGAGAAATTCTCATGGAAGAGAAAACAGCAGGAACAATTTATGGAAGAAATTAGTAGAGGATCTCTGGAGAACAAGAAGTTGGACACTCTTCTTAATAGGGATGGGACAAAGTAAAAATGGAAAAACAGGGAGTAAAAGAAGAAAATGAAGGGGACATACCAAAAGAGGGCTGAGAAGACCTTAAAAACTAGTACTGATGTTTGTCATGACTGTTTTTACCCAGAATTAATAAGAAGTCAGTGGTGCCTCACCCAGTGCCCACTTGAAAATAAGTATGTGGTGACAATTGGTAAATGATAAAAATGCAGAGTCACACAAATAAATTATATTTTTCATTCATCTACATTTCACCAATTAGCCCATTTCTATCAGAACTGCTTGAAAATTTCACCTCCTCCCCCAAAGATTCAAATTAAAAATAAATGGCTGACCAAAACTCAGGAAAAAATCCTGAAGCCAACCAACCAAAAAATGCTCAAAGCAAACAAAATAAAAACTTCAATTAACCTGCTAGAGAAACGTTTTTTTATTTTTCATTTACTAAAATGGCATATCTCTCTACAAATTATGCCAGACCCAGGTTTAGGGCAAACAATATTTTATATTGTACAAACATCTATACCAAAAATAGGTAAATGCTCCTACGAATAGGATATTCCAGAGCTGAAGTCTCTCATTCCCTTCTATTAACATTTCTTCTATTTTGTATGAAACCGGGGGCAGACTGGCCCAGCGGGACACTGGGAATTTCCCAGTGGGCTGTCATATCCATCCATGATGGGCCATCTTATCCACCCGTGACGGACCGTCATTGCCCCGCATCCTGAGCAGCTCTGCGTCTGCGCTGTATGTAGCACACGGAGCCTGCCCCGCCGTGTGTACTATGTACTGGACGTGACGCAGGGAAAGGGGGCGGGGCTTGAGGGGCAGGCAGGGGTGACATCATGGGGAGGGCCGTTCCCAGGCCGATTTTGATTGCCAGTCCACTCCTGTATGAAACATATTCATTAGAGGAGGGAGTGGAACCCAAATATCCCATGACGGCTCTGTCCTCTAAACAGAAGAGTGTAGAGTAATTTTATTTCTTTTTCTGGCTTTATCGGCAAATTACTATGGAAAAGTAGAACTAATGCCTCTCTTATTAACATCTATTTAAAACATTTCTAAATGTTTCTTGTTAA